TGGTGGTGAGAAGCGGGGTCTGAAGCTGAGGAGAGAGCCGGGGGTGGAGAGGTCGCTTGGAGTCAGGATGTAGCAGGTCCCAGGTTCTCCTGGAGGACGCATGGGTGACCTGTCCCTTTTGTGAGCAGTCGTCCTGTGCTCGTACCACTGCCTCGACGGAGCCTGTTTTCTTTGATGTCTGGGGAAACTAAGTTGCGGATGAAGTGCTTTGCTCAGTGAACCACTGAAATAATCATCGCGCATGGGCACCGATTGGCATTTAATCGTCGTCCTGTATCTTTAAATATTCTGTCTTTCAGATTAGAAGGTCATTATGAGACCGATGCCTGCAACTCTTTACTTACAGAAATCATGTCTGAGCTGTGTCACCACCTGCCTGAGGATCACCGTGTCGCTAGGGGCTTGGACAGCCTTCCTGCTGAGAAGTAAGCGTCTGGGAGTTGTTGAATCGTGGTCACAGACTCCGCCGTTGTGTGTGTCTCCAACTGGGCGAGCTTGTGGCGGCATCAGATCCCACGGTGGTTGTGCCACCAGGAGAGCGGGGAGATGAGCCTCGACGGGCTTGTGCGCGTGCGCTGTGCCTGACGAGCCGGCCCTGTGCCCCGTCCCCCCCCAGTCCAGCATGTGTGTCGCCTGCCGTGTGTCATGTTGGCCTAGGCACAGTGCACGACTGGCCACGCTCTCCGGAAGCTGACCTTCCAGGGAGCCCGGGCGGCGCACGTGCCCCATGAGAACTCACGCTCTAATCCCCAGGTGGCCCCAGGTGATCCGTGAACTCTGCGGCACCCCCGTGCCAACTCTGTTCTGTCCCAGAACCGTTCTGGAAGTGCTCACTGTCCTCCGAAACATCACAGCACACTGTGCCCGCGTGTCCAGCCAGGTCGCTGCCTCCGCGGAGCTCAGACAGCAGCAGTGGGTGGAACGGAGGCTGCGCTCCCGGCAGAGACAGACGTATCTGCACATGCTGAGTAGGTGTGTGGCTCGCCGTCCCGGGTCCCTGTTGGGCAGGAGTTCTCTCGGGATGCGGTTCTGATGCTTTTTCAGAAAGTTCCGGCACATGTGATTTTAAACACTATTGCAATTTGGGCATATGAGAATATGGGTGTTACCGACCCGAAAGAATATTCGGATTTTAAATATTAACAGCAGGTCAACCTGGGTGCGTCTGCCTTCTGGTGTCTTCACCTGTGTGTATTTCAGGACGTGTTCCATCCTTAGGAAATTACAATTTTGGACAGATTACTAGAGCTTTGGGTTGAGTGGCATCTGTGTCTCGAACACTTTTAACAGGTGTTCCCCGGCTGCTTCTGAAAGGTAACACGCAGTTACACTCTTAGCAGCAGTCCGTAAGGTGGCTGTTATATGTACATCCTTCCCCAAGTGGTGTATTTGAGAAAATGCTCTTCCAGTCTCACGGGCGAGATAGTATCTTACTTTGATTGTAGTATCTTTGAGTCCTGGAGACGTTGCACATGTCTTCACGTTACAGCCATAGGCGTATTTATTCTTGTGAGAGTCCTTTGCCAAACATCAGACTAGAAGTAAGATGCTGGCTGGTGGCACAGAGACTCAGGGCCGGTGGAAGCACGGGGTGTGGAGCCTGCTAGCAAGTCCTGCTCCCGGGCAGCTGGGCACCGTCCTGCTGGGGACCAGCCTCCTGAGAGGCTGCTCCTGAGGGGGGGGCGGGGCGGGCAGGTGGCGGCAGCAAAGGGGTGGGGGGGGGGCACACGGGGAAACTGCCACAGAGGCAGCCTCCTCTTGAGAAGTTTGCGTTTCAGTTCCCTTGAAAAGAAAAAACTATTGAAAAAGGGTTTGCATTCATGAAAGTGAAAAATACTTTCGTTTGTCAAATTTTAACTGTTTGTTGTCTGTTTTTAGTATTAAGCTTCTGTCTCCTGTGCTTTACCTGATTTTACTGCTGATTGCGCTGGAATTGGTCAACATTCATGTGGTTCGTGGAAAAAATACTTGCGAATATCAACAGTATCTAAAGTAAGTATGTCCTGCCTATGAGAAATGAAACTATGTGTTGGTAATTGTCAGCAATTTTCACTTCTATTGGTTATTTTCCTTGATACATTTTTTTTGAAACCCCCCAGTCTTGGTTGGCTCTTCGCCATTTTTCTCTGTGGACTTTGGGGCAAGTTTGTGAACGTTTCAAACTAACACCGTGTAGGCTCACTTCAGAAAATTTATGTGACGCACTTGTGAGTGCTTTCAGAATTCCTCACTCTGTGTAGCGACACCACCCAGGGACGGGTATTGCTGCTAGTTTGGAGGTAACACGTACCTCGTGTTTACGACGGACATGAGGGGTGCCTGGGTGGCTCGGTTGAGCGTGCGACCGCGGCCCAGGTCATGATCTCACGGTTCGTGAGTTCGAGCCCCACGTCGGGCGCTCTGCTGTCAGCGTGGAGCCTGCTTCGGATCTTCTGTTCTCCTCTCTGTCTGCCTCTCCTCTGCTTGTTCTGCCTCTCTGTCTCTTTCAGAGTAAATAACTAAACTTAAAAAAAAAAAAAAAAAAAAAAAAAAAAAAAAAAAAAAAATGATCACGAAAACATGACCGACGTTTTCTTAAAGAATCATGGAACCCAAGTGGGAACAAGGGCAGCGAACTTGCAGAATGTTAATGACTGGTGGCTTTAGCACTGCTGATGCTCTGGGCTGGGGGGTCCTCTGCGGCGGCTGTGTGGATACGCAGGGCGGGAGCGGCGCCCCGGGATAGCCATAAGTGGTGTAGACATCCCCAGATACAGTGTCCTCCCCAACTGAGAACCACTCTCTAGACGAAGCATCTGTGGATTTTTAGTGCATTATTCTTTTAACTTCCAAGTTTGAAAATACTTGGAGTTAGACTCTGGAGAACATCTTAGACTACTTGGCAGACTGGAGAGAACTTGGAAAATACAAGCGTGACTGATTCCTCTCAGTCGGGAGGAGGGATGTGGACAGTTTGGTGAACGCGCGTCAGCAGTGCTGCCACGGCAGAAGGTGTCCCACGAGGCGGTGCAGCTATAGGGCTCATCGCGAGGGCAGGCGCCGGGTGCACAGGAGCCCAGGACTGAGAGCAGCCCGCACGCGGGGCCCCGGGGCTCGCCTGTTCCCCGTTACGTGCGTGTGTGTTTATCACGTGGCGTTTAATCCATGTGGACTCTAACACCCTTTCTGGAACTCAGTTCTGTCTCCTAAAACCATTTCACCGGAGCTGAGAGTAAGTTTGAAAAGGCCCCCGGGTGTGTAAAACTCGCGGGAGTCCAGCCCCCTCTCCAGTCGGGAGGCGTCTTGGCATCTCCCTCTGACTCCTGTGCTCCTGTTTCCGTTCTGCATGTACTTCTCTCTCTCTCGAGTTTGCAGACAGAAATTAAGGCCAATAGTTTGGATCCCAAAAGGAAGAGAGTGCATTTAAATCATTGGGGCATTCTATGATAGAATAAAGGAGTTCATTTCTTTTTATTAAAACAGGTTCTTAAAGTCGATCTTGCAGTACACGGAGAACCTGGTGGTTTACACCAGCCAAGAGAGGAACAAGTGGAATGAAGCGATCGTTCTTACGCGTACAGCTCTGTTGAAAATTTGGACTTTCAGTGAGAAGAAACAGATGTTAATACATTTAGCCAGGAAATCCACAAGTAAAGGGGTTCTGTGAAAGCACTTACAGGTCAAGATGCTTTGGGCGACATCCAGAAACCCGGTCCACACAGGCTTTATTTACCTGCATGGAAATTGAAAATCCAAAGGTAGGGTGGTTTCCAGGGTCTGTTTGATCAGGGATCCAATTCCGTTTCTCTGCGGTTTTCTGATTTGCTGTTCCTGAGTCGGTGTGAACCTCAGGCTGGGTCCCATCCCGAAATCAAGTGGCCACGGCAGTTTGGTGCCCCCCCCCCCCCGCCATGACACAGCGTCCAGGGGCAGGGGTGCTTTTCACCCCATGTCACCCAGAGAACTCTTGAAAACTGTCACTGTGGCCGGGACCCTGCCACCGTCTGTACTCACTGGCCAAGCTGTGTAGGTGTCCAGTCCTGAGCAACCACCGGGACACAGAGAGCGAGCTTGGGCCAGTCTGCCTCATCCCCGGAGCTGGGAGTGAGGTTGGACGATCCAGGTCCCATGGGAAGGGTCAGGAGGAACAGCTCCTGGGAGGTACGCCAGGCAGACGTGGGCGCCGGGCAGCACGTGGCTGGGAGAGCAGGAGCCCGGGCACGTGTCAGGGTAAGGAGAGTCCCATGCAGGAGCAGGGAGAGCCGGAGGGGTGAGGGACAGGGTGCAGCCACCTCAGTCCAGCCCAGAGAGCCACGGTCTGCGCTTCTCCAGGGCTCCCTGTGCCGCTGCAGCTGTCTGACCGTCTGTCTCAGGTGGCAGCCGCAAAGCCAGCAGCCGTCAGGGCCCCCGTGAGGCTGTCCGGACCCCAGGTCTGCATGTGCGCTGGGCCACGTACGGTGAACTGTGGCCTCCTCTCTGCTTTGCAAACCTGGCCGGCAGGTTCTAACCCACAGCCCTCCAAGGAAGGACATCCAGCACGTGCGTTTCTGGTTTCTTTGCTGTCGGAGAACAGTGTCGAGGGATGGTGCTGTGGGATGACAAACATTCTGGCACATTCCGTCCATCCCTTTGCCAACTCCGTACCCGCCACACCTTTTTTAAACTAAACTCCTGGGTGAAGGCAGAGCACCGAGCTTCTGCCCCTGTAAAGCATCCTTGCTGTTTGCAAGTGTAGACCCCGAATCCCACAAGTCCCCGTTTCTGTTCCTGGGACGTGTTCTTTGGCAGGTGGTCACAACCTCCCTTGGCCAGATTCTAAGTGACGATTTGTAGGAGTAACCACTCTTAACCCTGCTGATGTTGGAGCTGGACCGGAAAAGGGCAGACAAGAGAACCCATATACTTACCAAACCTGCGAAGGAATAGGTGGGGCCTGTGCACCTGGTGATCTGCAGAAGTTGGTATTAAAAATCCCCTTTTCTCCAGCACATTCCGTGTTCCTCTGCCCTTAGCCACTTACCTGGTAGGGTGGCCCCGGCTGCTTTCCCGAAGGGTTTCTCTCAAGTCTTTCCGGTTTTGCCAACTAGTTTCCCACCAGCTCTGATCCCTGGACGTGGGAATACTCGGAGGTTCCCCAGATGACCCCTCGATTCCAGACACTTGTCCCTGCTCCCCTGTCTGGCAGCACGCCTGTCCCTAAGCGAGTGAGGAGCAGTCGCCCACACCGTCACGGTCAACCCCTCTTGGCCTTTTTGTTTATTGACACGAGGCATCCGGGGAGATGGGCGGCCTCTCAGCCTGCAGGCCAGTGGGGCACCCGTGTCCCTCTGTGGAAGCTTCTCAGGAACCTTCCAGCCGGCACAGTCCAGAATTACGAGACAGGCTAGTGGCTCAGGGACTGTAAGGAGGGGAACCGTTCCCATCGCCCGTGCTTCCGCCACCTGTGTGCTGGCAGTGAGACGCGCTGTAAGCCGAGTGGCAGTTCGGGGCATGAGGCCCATCTGGGGGGACAGCAGCCCCACGAGGCACGGCTGCCAGCCAGTGTAGGTGCGTCTGTCCCCCGCCACATCCTCCAGCTGGCCACTTCGGAGTGCGCGGCGGGCGTGGTCCACGGGCCTCCTTGCTGGGCTTCTCGGAAGCAGTGCTGTCAGAACGACGGCAGTGAGGGAGGCTTTGTGAGCCCGCTGACCGAGAGCAGTCACGTCCAGGGACAGGCCACTGCGTCCCCGGGTGCCGGTGGTGGGCACCCGTGTGGGGTACGGCCTCTGCCCGCAGCTCTTCTCAGGAGGCCTAAGCACTTCCCTCTTCGCGGTCCCTGTCCAGAGCTTAGACACCACTTGCCACTGATTTTCCAGTCTTACTCCGTCACTGACCGTCTAGCCAAGTGCTTTCTCGTTGCCTGTTTTCCTGTAGCTCCATCCTCCTGGCTCCGCTGTGTCCAGGGAACGTGGACAACTGCGTGTGGTGCCTGCCCTGGTAGGGCCCCCTCCCAGGCACGGGCCCCTAGCGTTCTGAGACAGAACCGTGGTAGTTGTTCTGCAGATAACGCCTAAGGCTGCGCTTTGCCACGGGACACCTGGCGATCCTCCCTTAGGGTCACCCTTGAGGCTATGATGCTACAACTTTCGTCTTTAGTTGGTGTCAGTGGTCTTGTACAGAAATCAAGTAGGACCTTCTCACATCGGGCGTCTGATCAGTGGAAACTCTGGGAGACCGTGGGTACCCGACGAAGGGCCGGTGTAGCAGGGTAGGTGCTTTGGGATCTGAACCATTTGCGTGTGCAGCCTGTGCCCTCAGGACACGCTCGAGCCCGTGTGTGTGTGTGTGTGTGTGTGTGTGTGAGAGAGAGAGAGAGAGAGAGAGAGAGAGAGACTTCTGTCTAGTGCTGAAGTGCCCCAGCAGCTGCCCGGCCTAATGATACAAAGGGTCAGCTACGCTCTGACCGGCTCCATGGCGAAGTGCAGTCTTAGTCTGTCTTGGGCTCCAGAAGAACTGCAGAATGATCACCGCGGTCCGTCCTGCTGCGGGATCCTGTCGGCACCACGGTCTGAGGGGGACAGCAGCTTTCACATCAACCTGTTGTGGAGCATTTTCTTATTCTGGACCTCCTGCGAAGCTGGCGGTTTTATAGGTTCATTTAATGTCAGAACAGCAAGACCAAGTGTTACTCCCAGAACCCAAAAGAGGCTCCCTGGTAACCTGCTTCATTCCAGTGGCAGTGGGTGTAAGACACAGAAACAGCTCTTCCCTTTGCAGGATATACGGGAACATTCCCTGATCCCTGGGTCCCTGGAACCTTCCGGACTGCGACCCCCTGCGTTCTTGTGGGTTTGTGCCCCACCCTTTGGCCTTCACGTCTTTCATCCAGACATCTGGAGTATCTCTCATTTCCTGGGTGCACACATTATCCACGGGTAGACTGGCCTGCGGGACAGCCTTGGGCTCCGGCATGTGCTGAAGAACCGGGGAGGTGGCCCAGCCCGCACACAAGCCTGTGGAGGTGCGCTGTCTGGCCTGCTGCCGGTAGGTTTGGTAGCAGGCGGACAGGGAGGGGCCGCGGCAGGCTGCAGGCCAGAGGCCGGGCCGTATTGATCTGAAGAAGCCACATCCGGGGCAGCGTCTGCAGCTGAGCTGGCCGCTCAACCCGTGCCCGCTCACCGACATCTGGCTGCCTTCTCGTAGGCCAGACGGGCACAGGTCACATGGGGACTCACCTCAGAAATTCCCATCAAAGCAATATGGCTTTTGGTTTCACCATCTTGGAGGTAAGAGGCCATGCTGTAAGCTTCCCTTTTCCACTAGACCTTGAGGGCCAGGGGACCCAGCCATCCCTCTGAGAAAGAGGTTCTGGGCCTGCGAACTGGCTCAGTCCTGGGAATTTGCTGGGTGTGGGGGGGGGGGGGGAGGGGTTCTCTGTTGCATGACCTTAGTGGCATCTCCGTCCACCAGACCGAGGGTGACGTCAGGACTGCCCACATGTTCCTGCCCGTGGAGCCCCATGGTGAGCTGGCTGCCACCACAGGTCTCTGCGGGTCTGATCGCCAGCTTAGTGCTGGGACCCCGTGGCCATGGCCGGAACCACCGTGGCCAGAACCGCGCCCATGCACACTCTTATTTTTCAGTCCTTCCAGGACCTGGCGCTCTAGGTCCTTCCCGATAAAACTGAGTAATGCAGATTGTGGCAGTTCTTCTGTCGTCCTCGCCTGAAGGGGACAGTGCTGCGGACCTGCCCGGGATGCCAGGGTCCCCTTGCCAGTGTGTTTTCTCAGTGTCTGGACGCTGCTTGTAGATGCTCTTGGCAATGTAGTCCCCTCATTAACAACCAACAAAACTCAAATATTCCTGCCTCCCTGAGCTTTGGGGCCTCTTCCTCTGAAGTGCGTCAGGGAAGCTAGGCCAAGTGCGTGTGTTTGGTGCGGCCGTCGTGAAGTCTAGAACTCAGGGCCTTGTGCCTGGGTCAGTATTGTCTCTTTATCACCCAGCACCTAGGCGTTACTGATCCCCGCGTGTGCTCCCCAGTACTCTGCCGATACAATCTGGGAAAATTCAACAGTTTTTTTTTTGGGTGGAACTTTGTGTACTTTTCACTGTGCCTGCTGGGGTTGACGCACTTACCTGTGTGGGAGCAGGAAGAGGCAGAGGTGACGATCTGTGAGGGTTCCTGGCAGCAGCCTCAGGAGCGGCCAGCCTCAGGCACTGTGGGAGGACGTTCCTGCGGCCGGGAGCTCTCTGGAACTTGGGGTTGGAGGCCACCAGACCCTACCTTGTGCACCCACTAGAGCGGCTCTGTGTGTGATCTGTCCGGGCGCCTGCTCCCACGGCCCCTGCGAGCTTCCCCAGCCTTGTGCTCTGCCCACACGTGTGGGGGCACCCCCCTCTCCAACCGGAAGTGTCCTGGACGCCCACACGACCTCTCTTCCTCCCAGACTGGTACCTAGACCCTGGCCGTGTGCCTGTCCACTGTTCAGGTGTGAGGACCTGGGCAGACCACTCGGAGGACACGTTCCTGGATGTTTTCTGGAAAGCAGCAGGAAGAGGTCAGTTTCTTAGCAGCAGAATGAGCCCCTGCACATCAGGTTCGTCCCGCTCTTTGGGTTTTGCCAAGTGTATGGCCTTTGTTGTGCAGGCACAGAAATTTGGTTGTTGTCAGCACACCCAAGGCAGAGT